CAAAAGTAACTTTATACCATTACCGAGAAGTAAAAATTATGTTTTGTGTATAAATTTATTCTCAACATTTCTCTCTGAAAGTTTAATCTTGCCGTATAGCTAAATATATAATACAAAAGATGATAATATATATAAAAGTGATGATAATATAGATGCAATAGGGGTGAAACTAATAATATTGTAGAAAATTAAAGATGCACGTGTATGTGTGTGAAGAAACCGTTAAATACTTCTTATATTTTATCCTCGACATTTTCCCTCTAGAAGTTTTAATCTTAATTACCGCGTAGTTTAATATAAAAGATGATAATATATGAAATTAATGATAATATATACGCAATGGTATATATGAAGCTAATAATAACATAGAAAGTTAAGGAGTTGAAAATAGAAGCCTTTAAATGCTAATTTATTCTCTACATTTTCCCGCTTAGAGTTTAATCTTAATTACCACACAGTTTAATATTGAATATGTTAATATATAAAATTAATGTGTGTTAATATAAACCAAATATAGAAAATTATAACGATAATATTAAGAAGTTCAAAAATAAAAGTTTTAAAATACCTTGCATAATATATATACTTTTTTAATATTCTCTCGGCAAATATTTAGTCTTAATTATTTCACAGTTTAACGTAGGAAATAATAACGGATAAACGTAATTAAATGTATACGTATGTATAAATATATATGTACTTATAAATTAATTATAAACGTACATTATAAATTAATTATATGTTTATTTATTTGTACATATAAAATTAAGAGTATGTGTATACGTATGTAAAGTTAATTAGAAATAATGTAGAAAATAAAGCAGCCAAATAGAAATATATTATGTAAATCGTGTACAGACATTAAATCGTAGGCGCGTACGTTTCGAATTCTACACGCTGACGAACGGTAGGGTTTTCTCGATTACGATATAGTTACGGTATAGTTTTAATGCCGTTTAGAAGCTGCCTTCGGCAGCGAGCCTTTCGAGGCCTGATCTGAATCGATCGACAAAGAGGAACAGCGCGACGAAAGGGAAAGGGCGCGGGACTATTCTCTCGTCGGTAGGCGTTAGTGCGACTCAAATTTCGAGTGTGCCAATTGTACGCGGCTGACAAAGGCGACAGGCCGCGCCTAAGTTAATCACATTTACACTCAGCCTCGCACGTGCTGGCGATCGTCAAAGAACGTCTCGCCCGTGGCGTATAGAATCGTTTATATACCAGCTGCGGTGTCGGAGAACCGTAAACATTTTCACGCGCCATCGGTGCGAACGAATAAATTAAACGATTCACCATTGGCGCGACACGTACGTTACGACACGTATGTATGCCATGTTAATTATATATGTATATCGGCCATGCAATTATTTCGTCACGTATTTACCGCGGAGAGACAATAATTCGCGTCGGGTCGGATCGACGATGGCGCGCACCCGATACGATATAGATACCTATATAGCCGGTACATTTACGCGGCCGTTAATGTGCCTCTACTTATTTCACTCGCCTGTCAACTGGGGGTACTCTGTTAACGTCACAGCGCCGACGAGCCGGAAGCAAAAATCCATCGGCGATAATTAATTTCTCTCGGCCGGGCGTCCCCGGGGAAAGAAAGATCGTCGTCGTCTATCGTCGTCGGGAAAAAAAGAAAAAGTAGGAATAAAGAGGCTGTTTGTTTGTACAAGAGGAACATCGGGTGGTAAAGTATCTACGAGTTTCTCTCTCTCTCTCTCTCTCTTTCCTCTCGCGACGGGGGTTTAAGAGGTGACCCGTAATGGTCGGTGGTTAACGCCGACAGGGTGGCAAGAGCAACACCATTGTCCATAGTCCCACGGGGGTGACCAGGCCAGACCAGACCAGACTAGACGAGGCCAGACCATCGTCGACAGTTGGCGAGCCGCTCCTGTCCTAAATTACACCGTCCGTGTCGAGCCCGTGTCCCCTTTGGCGGACAACATTCGGTGCTACAACCGCCGGTGTCTTTCGGCGCTCGTAAAAAGATGACAAACCGTATGTCAGGCTATTGATTATCGGGAACCACTGTGCATACCCACGTGTCCAAGATACGCGCGGTTGTCAATACCGATATGTGGAGAGGTGATCGGCCACCGGAAATGACAGCGAACGGTGCCTGCCATGCTGTTGAGGGGTCATCAATTTTCTACGCGCACATAGCGAATAACGGGTATACAATAATGCGCGGTATACAATTGGCAACAATAATGAATATTGAAGGCAACTGTTACAATGTAATAGTAACGCGGGATGATTTCCATTTGTTTTATTATCTAGTAAAATAAAATTGTCACAAAAAGCGAGTTATTTAAATTCCGTATATCGATATTTGCATTATTTTAAAATTAATGTGACAATTATTTTAAGTCCTGAAAAGAAACTTCGGATTCGTATCGATTTTCCTGATATTATTATAATTATCCGCGTATTATTAAGATAAATGATTTTAATTTACAGACAATTTATTGTGAGCACTTTAGGTCAAATCGCTAAAAATTATACAGCCTTAATAAGTATAAAGCGTCCTCAATTTATCGTATTTTGGAAAGTAATAAAAAAGACAAGGTTATAAAAAAAAGCAAAGAAAAATGAACAAAATAGTAAAATTATTTAAAAATAAATATTACTTTTTAATAAAACTTTTTTATCTTTTTCGTTAAATATAGAACGTTTACGTACTTTACGTTATACAATTTGTGTGGGTGCTTTATATTTATGGCCGAGGCTGTATAAGCGTTGATGTTATCGATTATATAATAATAACGCCTTAAACGCAAAGTGACAATATTACGAATCGATTCACGCGCGCGTTTACGTCAAGCCGAATTCAAATCAAGCAAAAACGAATAAATCATTGAACTTTATTATACCGGTTCACATTTGTTCGCGTTCGTTTGCTCGAATCCAGATTAAACCTAGTAAGTCTACGACGAGCGATCTTGAAAGAACATTTACAGATGAACGTGAACGAATGTAGCCAGCGCGTTTCCCTCGCGTTTCCCACGATGCGCCGCACAAAGAAAACGGGAATGTTACTCGTCGATGTAAATTCGAACTCATTCGTACCCGCGGCACCATCCACGCTCATTGGGGCAAATTCGTTCATTCATCCGTGCTCATTCGGGGCTCTTAGCTCCTCTGGGTCCGGATCCGCCTTTTGCGTTACTGGATGCCGATCACGAGCGGCCGCGCGCGCTGCGTCACGAACAACTCGAAATCAAAAGCTTCTCTGTGAACGCGGTACGCCCGTCCGTGTCTGCGATGGTGTTAACAAGCTTCTGCAAAGCCGCGCAGCCGGGGCGCTGATACAGTCTGCACATAGAGAAGCGTATAGCGGATATATCGCGCGCAACGTGCGTAACGAGTTTGACGCTCCGCCTCCCTGTACCAAACTCAGCTCGTTAAACCGATAGCAGCCGGGAAAGTTAATTTGCGCATTACTTACAGGAGGGGGATATTACGAAATTAATGACGCTATTATCTAAGGATAAAGTGTTACCTTGATAACACCACAGATATCCGTTTCGCATCGTTCCGATCGCGCTCGCGAGCATCTTCGCTTCCCTTGGACGGAAGTATACTATAAATAAAAGTCCTCGTGCAAAAATGAATATGCGCATGTCGTATATAGCTTCGCGCCTTCGCACAATTTGATCTTCATAAGTTAGTTTTATTTGATAGTCGATAGTCGCATTTTTTTTCCCGGTCACACCGCTGCGTCGCGATTGAACTTTTAAATCGACGAGAATGATGTAACACGATATATACACCTCTCATCCACTTATCTCTTCAATTAGCGGAGAAGGGAGGGAGGGAAGGGGGGAGGGGGAATCTTTCAACGGCGCGGAGGAACAAAATTCAATTATCTTATCAACCGTTCTCCAACTTGCCGCCGAGAATTATCGTTGATGGCATTAAAGTTACGACGATCCAGCCAGTCCGTTACGCCCGCGACATTTTCATCATTTCGTTAGATGCTAATAAACGTCGGCTTGTAGCTCTTTCCGGTATTGCGCGGAGTGGGGGAGGGCGAGGGGTCGAGGGCGGGAGGATTAAAATTGAAATGAGAAAGAGCAATGGTGCCTTTAGTCGACCTCGGTGTAGATGAGGCGAGCCAAAGCGATTCGGGCTGAATAATTAAAGCGTTAGAACGCGACCGAGTTTCGCGAGCCAATTTTGCAAAGGTCCGCCTCTCGCCGACCGTTACAATGGCGTCGACTCTTTGATGTGTCTCTCGCTCACGGGGAGTCCTGTTATCCTTCTTCCGTTTGCTTTCTTACATTTCTGCTTTGTCAAGGAACACGATTGCACTGAAACTGAGAGCGACACGGACGTTCTTTCGCCTCCAAATCTCTCGCGTTCTTTCTTCGTCCGCACCTTTTTCGCCGACGAACGTTCTCGGCAGCACGAATTGGCGTGTTAATTAACGAACACGGTCACGTCCGACGAATCTTACGACGGATCATGCGTAGATTTGATTTTTAAATAAAGTAGCCCGTTAAATAAAAGACACATAAAAAAAGCGATTTATTCTTCATTATTATTATTATTATTATTATTATAGACAAGTGTAAATTAAAATGTTTTTATAAGATCAAATTTTTCATCAATTTAAATATACAATTAATTAATCATGATTGCAAGATGCATTTAAATCTCTACATAACAGTTTCTTGATTGGACTTAGATATTATTACATAATTATTGCGGTTGCCACTCACGTATGCAACTCCAAGATGGTGTCTAAAGTTTTCACGCGTTCGCGCAGCGGCACATTGAATATTTCGAAGAGCACTTTCTCTCTTTCTCTCTCTCTCTCTCTCTCTCTCTCTCTTCGTTGCCCGTACGAAGAACATAAATTTCTCCATAGATCGAGGTTCCGTTCATTATGAAACTCTCAGCAGCAGGCGCGTCCCCTCCGCTTCCCGCGGCTCTTTTGTCGGCCGCTGTCAACGCCGTCGACGGCCGCGTCGATTAACGCGAAAAATATGTCGGTAATAAAGTCGTATAAGGCCGTGGGTCCGTAATAGACGCGTTGGACGATCTTACGGTTGACTGCTCACTTAGCGTCGCATATATATTTGCGTGTGTGGCCTCGTAACCACTCCGCCACGCCGCGCCGGTAGCGGTTTGCGTCGCGTTTCACTCGGCCGCACGGCGTGCGTTGTTCGCGTGTCCCCAACGCACGTATACGGCCCCTGGGTCGTAACCCTCGCAGGCATGGACCGCCAGGTGGACCGAGTGACCTGGGCAAGCAACGGTAAAGCTGTTGGTACAAGGTAATATTCCTTCGGCAATATATCCACCCTCACCCGGATCCGTTTACCCACCCGTCATGTTACGGCCCTTAACCGCCATCGCAGGTTATACCCGCCGCGCCGCGCCGCGACTCTCGAGTTCTAACCCCGGGAGCCCTCGGGGCGTTTTCCGGGAGAGGGTATTAATCGAAATCCAATAACTTCGTTAGCGCGTAGGCACGTATTTGTTCGTATCGAACAACGTGCCACGCAACCACCGAAACCGGCGACGTATAATTTCGTGTCGCGCCAAATGCGACTTCGGCGAGTTGTAAGTTCGTATCTTCGCGGTACGCTTCACGGTTTGCTCGCTGTCCCGCGAGAGTTACACACAATCGGTCGCACGGTGTATACGATGTCGCTTCGACTCCGAAATCCGAAGCTTCGTTGTTATCGACGCATTGTCTAACTCATGTCGCATTTCGCTGGGCCCGCTCGAAACTAAATTATAGGCTACACGCGTAACCGCGTATGATATTCCGATTATGTGCCTCTCTCTCTCTCTCTCTCTTTCTTTTTCTCTCTCGCCTCGATAAATATTAAATGGAAAATAACGAGATTTAGAACACGCAGAGGAAAAAGAGGATAAGAGAGGAGGGAATATAATTCCTGCGTTTGTGCCGACATCACGAGCGAAGATAAATTAAATCCTTCCTCGGTAATATGTCTAAATATGACGGTATTTCCCTTGTCGAGAGGCAATCTATCGTATAAAGAAGCTTATTTTACGATTGATCGCGCGAGCGTATTGGCGCGCCCGGAGTTATATCGCAGATATCGTTCGGGGAGTCGACTATTAGAATTCTCGATATAATTCCAGTACGAAATCATTCTCGGAGATTATAGGATTATGCGAGAGCTCGGCTGGATACGAACATCCTCTTCTGTATATTGAACATGCGCAAATTAATACTAAGATATCCCCGACAATAGGAATACTGATAACGTTATTAATAGAGAAAATTATAATAAAAGGGGAAGTCTGGATATTATATATCTATATATAATAGCAAAAGTATATATTACATTCTTCAATTTTATAAATCCTTTTAATAAACGTTATTTTAAAATTTCCTTATTTTAAAATTTCTCCCTTTCCCTTTATTTTTTTCCTCGTAAGTCTTTATTTATTTATCTATCTTATAACGTATCTTTTTCCATTCCTATCGAGATATTTTTAACGCGACTTTAAGATATCGATTACATCGTGAACGCGATTGCAGTCGCGATAAACAATTCTAGTTACGCATTTACGGAAGGTGGATATATGTCACGGTAAACGATTCCTAACGATTTCTGCGCGCGAGAAGGGAAATAGTAAGGAGGGGAAGGAGAAAGAGGGGAAGTCTCTGTGTGCTTAGAGTGCCGGCACATTCGCGGAATTACCAACGAGAGCATGCTATTAGCAGCGAGGACGCCATTATGGTCGTCGTAGTGAATCGATTTCAATTCCCGATACCGCTACCTGGAGGCAGTTGGAAACCGATTCTAGTTCTCTGGTCGAATAGTACGGTCTCTGGCGGTTAACCGGCGGAATCGATGAGGATAGCGATAACGGTCTCGAAGGAGTTGGCTGCCACGGACGGCGCCGCACCCGCTTTGTACTTTTGCCGATCCCTCTCGCCGAGAGTTCGACGCGTCGATAGCCCCCTGCGCCGGGGATACTCGACGTATGTACGCTCGTTCGTGTAAATGCGGGAATAATGCAGTCCCGTACTTTGCGCGTCGAGAGCGAAAACAATCGAGCCGGGCGAGCCGAACAATAGGCACGCGTTGAAGACGGCAATGTCCGTGCATCGTTGAAATTATCTCGAGAAACGAGTACATAAATTTTCTATCGAGTACGTAAATTTTACTCTTTATCCCCTGAAACAATCTTTTTTTTTTTCGAGCCTCAATTTCTTCAAGTTAAATTTATATTTCACGCAGCCTTACATGCGTTACATTGTTTATGTATGTATTAGTTATTGCGAAGAATATCATCGTCACATGCCCTGGTGGTCTAATAATGGTAGGACGCCCGTCCGGCAAACGTGGAGATCCGAGTTCGATTCCCGGCTGGGAGCAGGGGTGATATTTTTCGCAATAAATTCTTTACAGATTTGGGGGGAGAAGATTCTTTTAGATGCTTATTATCGAAAATATTAAATTGCTGGACAATTTAATTCGTTACAGTGGATTCTGATGGCCTCACGTCATCAGAGCTGTGTTTTAAGACTGACAGTTTTTTTTTGTGGCGCACAGTTTGTATGTGGCTTGATAATTGTAACAGTAAAAATTATTACACACCAACATCCGTGTAGCAAAGGCATTATTGAGGCACTATTTATGATTAATCTTCTTTTTAATAACGATCGAAGATTTAATCTTAAACGTTTTAATTTATCTGGATTTCCCTGGGTATCTGCAGGGTTTCATTAAAATCGAGATTCTCGAAACAGTAATTTCGCGAAGGAAGGTGATGGCTTCTACAGTCTGCGCGATTCAACGCTACGCTGATCGGTTCAGATCGTTCGCGGGAAACGGGTAAAACGAAAAGTATGAATGAATGGCGCTTCGAGAAGTCTTCAAGTAACTACCGTCGCTGCCGACGACGAGAACGGCGGGAGCTCAGCTTCGCGTCGCCGAACGGTCCGACGGACGCAGATAGGAAATATCGTTGCGGCAGCTGCGAAAATTTCTAGTCTCGGTGCCGCGATAAAATTGGAACGCATTCAGATTCAGATGAGCCCACGGCCGCGAGGTAGACTTCGACGGGCAGAGTCGCACCGCGTCGTCGCCGCGGGGACGGGTATCGAAATTCAGAGAATATTACGAAGTGCAAAAAGAAAGGGGGGAAATCGCGATCGGAAGAGAGGAAGAGAGAGAGGGGCGGGGGGAGAGAGAGCCGAAGGAAGCGAGAGGAGCGAGGTCGCGGGGGAGTGAAAGCGGAGAAAAAAGAAGACGGGAGCAGGGTCGGGGAGGATCGATGGTACGGAAAAGATGGACCGCAAAAATGGGTAAGAGACGAAATGCGCACGTGGGGGCGGCGCGCGAGAGAGCGACCGTTGCCTGCATCCCCCCGGCACGGTTGTGTGTATGCGGAATACGTATGCGTTGCGCCGCGTATAGAAGAGATATACGACGCGCGCGGCCCACCGGCTGTGTATGTTTTATGCCGCGCGCTATACCTCCGGAGAGAGGTTTCCCTCTCTCGCTCTGTCTCGCGTCCGCGTTTTCTCTCGCCCTCGCATGATTTATGACGCCCGGAGCGCGCGCGAGCGCAGGCTAGCCGCTCTCGCGTGGAGTACACACGGCGGGGCGCGCGACCGCCAACACAATCGAGCGCGCGAGCCGGACCGTGGACGGCGTTTACGTAAGCTGAGATTTTCCACCGCGGCGCACGGAAATGCCGGCAGCGAGGAGAGGGCCTTCGTGGCCGTCGGTCGCTGCTATCGGCCGCCCCGCCGCAAAACAAATCAATTTTCCGTTCCCCCGGTCTCGGGAACCTGCAGGAGAACGGCCGGACGCCGGGGGTGATATTTTTCAAATGAAAGGCCAACGCGTTCCGTTTCTTATACCCACCTCGCGGACTATTCGTTTTCCTCCGGCCACTGGCGATCGACGCGAGGCGACGGGCTCGGCACCGCTTCCCGTCACCCTGCATCCCGCGCCCCATGCCGCGTGGCCGACTTATTTGCGGTTTATTTCGCGGAGGGTCCGCGTTCGGGTTAAAATGTCCGTTTAGCGGGAAATTTTAAGTGCCCGCGGTGGACTTAGCGGCGCACATAATTCCTACGCGGATAAAGTCGGATTTGTCCGGCTCCGCCGCGCGTGACACAATGCGAGTCCCCGTATCCTAACCATCCGTGTGCACCAACGTTTAATTTTTTTTCCCTGCCCTTCATCTTTTATGTCGTTATTTCGCGACGCGTACTTCGCGGAGAGCTGTATCGCGCGGTTATAAGTCTTGAGCACACTTCGCGATCTCGCTTCGTATGACTGAGACTTTATCTAATCCCTCAATTTGCGATGTCACCAGCGGATTTTCGTAATCTACATGACGAAATATTTATATACCGAGTGCATCTAAATATATATGACGAATGCAGCGATTACTCTAATTGGACGCTCGCATCGCAGCCCAAGAGGTCGTTGACTGTCCAGACAATAATTATCCTGTGCCGATTCGCCGATATCGGTGGGTTAATAATTTGTAACTTGAGCACATTTGTTCGTTACGAGAATTACTCGCGTTCCATAATTTCAAATATATGGAATATCCCAAATCCTGTATTCGTTCTCTCCCCAAATCATATTGTTCCCCGAATTGTTCGTGCGCACTCTCGTAGCGAAAATTGTAGCGCCATGGCGATTGAGCAAAGCGATGATCTCGCAGTTTGATAGTAATCGATGCGAGAGTGCATTGTTAGTATTTTCCGTTCGACAGTATCCATTATTCAAAGTGTCAGGAGCGCTATAGACATTTCCGCGCGAATTTATAAATTGTAAAACTAATTGCCTTAATAACGCATTGAAAAAATAAATCGGCCAATTGACGAGCGAGTAATAGTCGCGTATCAATTTTAAAATAATATAGAGATAACGATGCTTCTCTATCGGGAATAGCCAATAAAAAATTATTGCGTGGATAATTCCAGTTTTAATAAAGATGTTAGTGAGACAGGTATAACTTGTTTCTTTATCTTTTTGGCTGTCTTGTCGAGAAAAAATAATTATATAATAAATTCGTGGAATAAATACTAACTTTGAGGTAACACAGATTTAGGTACTTTCACGCTGTTTATATCGATGAATCTGATAAAGAGAAACCGAAGGCTTAATCGAACACCGGATCGCAGCGATTCGCATGTGCTAAATCACTCACACTGTCTTATTCAATCTCACAGAAGCGCAAATAATCCCATCAAGCGCGCCGTTTCCAGCTTAATGAACTTTCGGCATGGGCGGCGGCCGGGCCCCGCGAGCAACGGTATCACTTTCGACGTCGAAAGGAATATCCGTCATAATCAGTAAACGCCCGTGTGCGTGCGCGGCCGGTGAATTGGAACGAACTAGCCTGATGTATCCGAGATGACGTCTAGACGCGACGGAGTATCTCTCGCGAGACATTAACGCTCCCGTGTCCGCGCCGTCGTTCGCGGCTCTTAGGTGCTGCACGCGTAAGCTCACGTGTCAAGCATTGCGTGCATCGTGTTACCCGACACGCAGTTCTCCGACGTGCCAAAATGGTGTCTGCGCGAGATACAGTCACGTTGCACAGGTCAAGTGGCGAATTAGGAACAGGAATAAAATTCTTTACGGGATAATGAAACTCAAGTTACAAGCCAAATGTCAAGATAGATCATCAAATGTAATCATGCATCATTAAACGAAATATTTCGAGAGAGAGAAAGAGAGAGAGAGAGAGAGAGAGAGAGAGAGAGATCCTCGACAATTTATTAAATATTTATTACGCAGTTTTTCATTCTTCAAAAATTATGGTACGCGATACGATATATTAATTTAAGCATATTTTAAAATTACAATTATATATAATTTTAAAAAATTCAAATTACATATTAATAAAATATTAATAATTTAAATACATTTGCAATCAAGTTTGAATAATTTTCGCAAGTATTCCAACCACTCGCCTCTCCTGTTTAAAAATTAATTTCATAGATTCTCGGGACGGCCGGCACTCACGTACCTACTCGCGTGTTATTGAAAAGCGGCAAGCAGCGAGATAGAAAAGAAAGAGATGCGAAAGAAAGGTATCCATAGATAGATCCTTCTTTATGGGAAAATGGATCTTGAGGAAGAACCGATAAATCTTCCTGTCGGTCAGAACGACGGCCGGATCGTTTATCTGGATTTAATCGGGCCGAACACCTGGCATGCTCGAATCCACGATATTTTAATTTTGTCTTTCAGGTTTTACTGTCTTCGAGATGCTTGATTTATGAACGATCGTCGGAGACGCGCATATCCATGATTAGAGAGCTGATTGGTATCCTCCCACTAATGCACTGATACAAATTGATCGAAAAATAAGACATATTTCCAATTGGAAGCGTAAATTACACATAATAAATCTATATTATTTAACAAAATTTATTTTCTCATGTATATGCAACGTTATTTTATTCATTTTAATTTTTTTTGCATCTGAAATTATAATCCAGAAATTCAATTTTTATCCCGTTGGGATCTCAAGTAGTTTGAATTGTTCATGTTAAAAGCGCTACGAATACGTAGAGGCAGATGAAGCAAAATTCGCGTACGAAGTTAAATTTCTACCTTTTAGATTTGCCGTTCCAATTTTCTTCCTTCCGTGCGCGATATATATCCGTTAGATTTCACTAATTTAATTGACGCGCATTTGATTGACGCAAAATTCATATAATTTTTTTTTACCAATTATTTATTATCGATCAGTTATTGTTGATGCGTGTCGTTTGCGCAGTAATAATTGGCCCGGTCATTATTTGTCGTTGTGTATTTTGCCGTCGAGAGAACGTGAAATATCAAAAATGAATATTCCAGTCGGGCGGCTAAAGATATTCCGATAAACCGTTGTGCCAGTCGCGGATTAAAGCTCATTCAATACCTTCAGTCCGTCCGGATTCCGATAATCCTCGGTCAGGTCACGTCGATTTCAAGAGCCACGAACGGCAGTGGCGCGACGGCGCGATGAAAATTTTCTACCGTCGTCGCCTCAACTGTAAGGAAGCAACTATCGCACTCATTTGACGGGATCGAGCGGTACTGGCTTCTTTTTTACGACAGTCACCTCTCGCGCGAAGATAGATCTTATGAATATCAAAGAGGGATATACGCGTGGATTTTCTCCGCCCACTCGAGAGGGAACCGATTGGATTGCAAGCTCGTCGTGCTCGGAATGACGTGGGAATCATTTGTCTGGATTAAGTCTCGAAGTCCCTTTACTTCTTTTTACAGTCGCGCATCTTCTTCGTTTCCAACCATTACACATATTACCACTTCTTTTCGCAGGCGTATATTTCGTATTTTGCGTGGTAAAGATGGACGATTCGGAACGGACAGTCCGGGTTAAATCCTTTTTACCAAGCGCCAAAGATACTCTATGTAATAATTTACATAAAATTTATTTAACAGTAATAAATAAAATATAGAATAACGTAAATAAATGAAGAGAGCCGTATTCAGTCAAGACGGATTTTGATGACTATAATAATATTTTTTTGCCTGAATTTTTATTAAAATTAAAACTAAACAATTCAAATGTCGATTTATCGATCGTAATATCACAAGTTAAATTGAGTTCAAGCAATTTCAATAATATTGATGCTCATGAGCATCTTAAAAACATTATAAAGAATTTATTGCGAAGAATATCATTGTAACCAAATCTATTTAATATTGTATTTGCCTAAAAAAAATAGAATCATTGCAGAGTTCGGATTTTACTGTTTTATAATGCCGTGATTTAAGCGATATTTGTCGATAAACATCGGTTATTTATCGATCGTAATATTACGAGTTAAATTGAGAAAGTAATTTAAATAACATTGATGCTAATCAGCACCTTAAAAACATTAAGAAAAATTTGTTGCGAAGAATATTATCATGGCCACATTTATTTAATATTTTATTTTCCTAAAAAAAAAAAAAAAGAATTATTACAGAGTTTGGATTTTACTGTATTATAATGCCACGATATTTAAGCGATATGCAACATTTCGCTATGATACATCGAAGTACCGTATTGCGTTCTGCAACGTATGCGTTGTAACGTGCAAGATGTTTATTCATTAAAAGCCGCCGCCGCGCGACCGCTATCGGATCGTGCTCGGCGCATAACTACAGGCATTGCAGGGGGTGGCGGAATTTTTTTTCCCTCCCTTACCACGGGCGGTCCTTTAACGCGAACGCGCGGGAAAATGACATGCGCGAGGTACCAAAGATACGCAACTTTCATCATCCGTATCACGAAGTTTACTAACAATTACCCTGAAGCCGATAACAACGTAATCCCGTAATGGACGCGAAACCTCTCTTCCGACGGGTGTAGGAAGGGAGCGAAATTGCGACTACGGTAAAAATGCAAATCGCGCCAACGGCCGGTGCTCTACTCCCCCGGTCGCAACAGGTACACGTACCTCGATTTATAATCATATTACGCGTTCATACACGCGATCTCGAAAATGTTTGTAATTTCGCGAGCGGGTTTCTGTTCCTCGAAAATTGTCGCGGTTCGCCCTCCCGCTACCTATATATATGTATATATATATATATACGTCCGACCCTTTCAGTCGATATCAACCATGGTACTCGTCAATCTACCTCGAAAATTGAAATTTACAGCAAAAAGTTACAGCAGCGGTTCTCAAAGAGGGGCACGATCCGTTGGATACGCTGCGAGAATTTTAATCATCGGTAAAAGAAACTTCGAGTTTTATTTAACGTTAATGTTATTTCAGCTGCGCGCATGATATAGGGCAAGGCGAAAAACTTTGAGAGTCACTGACAATGAATTGTAGGTCGGCACGACGAACAGCTTTATAAGTAATTACGTGAATTTGCGAGCACAACGACGTGGTTCGGGAACACGGTCACGAATATACAAGTCAATCATCCGCATAGTCGCGGTAATTTATAAGGTGGCCTAATCAAGTGCATTTTCAAGAATCACGAAATTCCGAGATTATTGCGCGAGAGACGATTTTCGAGGGGAGAAAGTCAGCGGGAATCTCCGCGTCCGCGGTTTCTGGATAACCAAACGTGACAAACCGACATGATCGGAAAAGCGCCGTGATATTTCACTTATTTACATACGTTCAACATTTCTCATTTAATTCCCTATTTTCGACGCGGCGTTTCTGCCATCACATTTTCCCCGTTTGCATATTAACGTAGCGTTTTGTGCTCCAGAACAGAAACATTTGCATAATTAGTCAATTTTATCCTTTACGTTACCTGACGGATCTCGGCTAAATTAACACCGCCCTGCGGCGGTGTGCGTGCTAATTAATTAATGGTCGTTACAATTAACGGATCGACGAGATAAACGTTGAACGTTCCCGACGAGAGAGCCCTTAAGAAACACCTGAGCCGGTTGAAAACCGGGGCGATGTTCCTTCAATTTACATACGTCTGACGTTCCTAACCCGCCCAACTTTCCATCTCCGACCGACTCCAGCCGACTCTCTCCGTCCCCTTTCCCCGTGCTTTCCGGCTTCCAGTGCGCGTATGTATCTTGGATATATAAGTGCGTGCGAGAGCGGTCGGAAAGAGGGTGCAGGAGACAGTCGACGGAGAGAGAAAGAGAGAGGGAAAGACAGAGAGAGACATAATTTGCATATATGTGCCAGTCTACGGCTGCATCCCTGTGGAATTGCATCCAAGAACACGCGTATACACACTCACGTGCACGCGCATGTATGTATACATACGGCCGCACGTACGTACATATCTGCGAGCGTTCCTCCCAAGGCGAGGCTATGCTAATTCATATGAATATGCATCGATGACTCGAGACTCACCGCCGCCGCTTCTCTTTCTCTCTCTCTCTCTCTCTCTCTCTCTCTCTCTCTCTCTGCTGCTGCTGCTGCTGCTGCTGCTGCCACCATCGTGGTGAAAATAATTCCGCGGATTTATCGACTCGGAATCTCGGCGAAGCCGTGGGTCTCGCGTAAGCCGGCGCGTACGATATGTAGGCTAACGCTCTGGTCTCCGGGGACTTCGATTTTCGAATCGATGCGTTTTTGTATCTAGCATCGCCCGATGTGTAACGCGCTCTAAAGCCAACTGCCAACCGCGTCTTTCGCACTTGAAATCTCCGCGTCGATGCGCCCACGGACTTTCGAATTTCTAGTCCAGTCGACACTTTTCGCCGATCGCGAGAGCGCGTAAGATTTGTCCCTGATTACATCCGCGGAATATTCCCCGGGGAGAAAACGTCTCGTTTCATAAATCACCGCATTGATAGAAAAGTGACACAACAGTAAAAAAATTAGCATTTTTTGAGGTAATAAGACTATAAAGAGTTAGTTATTTTCATTATTTTAACAATGTTAATTTTTAACTTGTGTCACTTTTCTATCGTAGCATAGACTATTCATTGCCACGTTTATTAATTTATAGAAGAGTTTAGTAATTTATAGAAGAGAGAAAGTCAAATGTGAGAGTCAAATGTGCTAATCAATACTTCATCAAAATGTACATCTAAAACATTGATACTCTCTCTTGAAATTTTTAACTCGGAACTTTTAACACTGAAGCGTCAACGTTAAAAAATTATACACATTGCATGCGTGTTTTTTTTTGCAAGAATAAATTTAGACGATAAAGCTTTTGTAGAGGGAAATGCTTGCTGCTCAGTGACGTACGTTAATTTGCTCAACGTATTACTAAAGTAAGGCAATATTAGCTCAAGATGTATAAAGACGTAATCCTTCTCACGTAAGTGGCTTTTAAAAACCACTTTTAGTGGTTTTTAAAGAGTGCAACGATAACTTTTCCTCGCCGTAAAAGGAAGCTTCGAAAATTCAACGGCCAGTCTCTCTCGCTCAAAAAATACGTACGTGATCGCGAAGAAACGTCGAGTTTCCTTTAAGCCGCTCTCCGTGACGTTCCACGTTCGTGCTTGATTCCGATCCATCGTGACCGCTATAGATTACACGTCGGGCAGCGATTAATTTGCGCGAAGCGCCTGTGGTAACACACCGAGGAAACGCAGCGCGTTTTCATGGCTATTAGCCGTTGAGGGGCACGAACCACGGGGGCGCCCGACTGATCTGATTATTGCAGGATGTCCGGGACAAGCGGTCGCGAAAGTGCGAATCGGTTGGCGGGCCCGATGACGGACCGATGCGACGAGACGAGACGAGACGATAAGAGAGAGAGAGAGAGAGTCGAAGGGAAGGAAAGGGACGAGGGATGATCTGCTGTGAACAACGGCAAGTCCTTGCTCGCGTGACGATCGATTTCGTGTCGCCCGAGCTTACCGCGCGCGTCGATTTTATCACCAGTCAGCCCCCGACCGACCGACCGACCCAGAGGCCGACGCGATGCGTCGCTGCTCCGCGCCGCTGTAGCGTGCACACGCGAAATCACACGCCCGC